GACGGTCGCATACAACCCGGGGTCACGGCTGCACCACCCGCCCAACCTTCAAGAATATCAGAAGATTCAAACAATGGCCGAATAATTCCTACTTTCTAACTGAGCTTGCTTCAGTATGACGGACAATTATGCTGGTGTTTACCTGTTTCATTCTTTGCTGTCTGCGAAGTGTTGACGTTCTTTCTCCAGGCATATCTTTTATGTAGCGGAAAAACGGTGTCTACTGTATAGCTTGACATTGTACATAACAGTCAGCTCACATTACCAAAATGAACGAAAACCTGTAAACTGGTTTGTTTTCACGTAACTTATGTTGTATAAAATACATAACTATTCCCTGCGACTCATGACCTGCAGAATAAAAGTTATTCAGCAAGTAAATCATTTGGTAAAATTTTTCCACTCGATATTCTTCAGGCAATCATGAGTTACATCATTCGATATAACTTCTTTCGCATACTGTATAACGCGGTCTGGTTCAGACACCAAAGTCAGCATTAATGAATAATAGATATTTTATTCTCATATTAGTAATTTAACATGAGAGAAGCCAGTTTACAGGCATCATCACATTGATATATGTTGGAAAATTTACAAGATTTTACGGGATCTAAATGGTACGGAATGGAGGTCATTAAATTAGATTAAAAACAGATTACACAAGTCATGAAATGAACAAGAAAATACAACTTTTCAGCGGATACAGAGTGTTAAAGATTTGATCGTTTTCAGTCATACTTTTTTTCACCATTAGTGGCACCAAGGTTGCGCGAAATTCTAAATCTCCGTTACAAGCAGTCGACTTGTTGGATTCGTCTTCGCGATGCCTTGTAATGCTATATAAACGTCTATTTTACCACAAATTCTTATGTTTATAGCTTCGAGTACCAGAAGAACCCACACTGACGATGTTGAGAACCTGTAAGTCCCCACGTAATCTGAGTTAATATCTACTCAAGTGTTTTCATTCACAGCAATAGAGATTTACGCCATCAGAAATAGATATTGTGGTGTAAAGGAATAAACATTTGAATAGTCTGCAGACCAATGGCACTGAGTTTTCCATTTTGTTCACGTTAAGGTATGCAGCATTGTCAAGGACGTATATTCACTGTTAGGTGAAGTACTAGAGAAGTCTGTTTCATAGCATTATTGTGAATATGTCCAGTTTAAAGTTAATAGGTGACTTGATCTCCTGGATTTTACTGTCTGTACAGATTTTCGATGCCATTATGACCGTCCAGAAATTAAAGTAACTCAAGGATATATATATTCGTATGATGAGGGTCAAATGAGTGAATGGGATTGGTAATTGTTGCTCATTGGACAGTAATTTTTATGGGAGCATAGTTTTATTGCTTCGAAAAGAAATGGAAAGTTTAGAATTGGTAACGTATATTCTTCATTCGTGTCCTGTTGTCATCATTGAAGGTTATCTTGATGATGTGGGTATTCGAGGATCCGAGTTAAACTCTTCGATCGTTTAACGTTCAGATTTCCAGATTATTCAGTAAGTTTTCATCATAGTCTAGTTTCTTCATAGTCTTATGATATCTCCATAATGCAACCCTCTGAGATTTTGATAGAAAACAAAAGCAGGTGTAGCCTCTGCACCTCTCAGATTGTAAATTGTTTATGTATTGAGAGTTCCCGATATATCTGTAGTTCTAGTAACAGTATTAGTGGTGCTTTTTATGGTGCTGTCCTGTAGTGTAGAGTTAAGCTGTCTTATAAACCCAGTCAAAGGTAAGCTGTTCCATATCTGAGCATATTTTATCACAAAGAAGTTCTCCCTAGTGACTGTTCTGAAATGCTCAATTGCTACTGTTGCAGTTACATTTCTTAAGGCATATGCAGTTTTGTTTGTGAACCACGTGTCTGTGAATGCGCTATAAGTTAACCTGTTAAGGAGCTTATAAAACAGTATCAGGTTCAGTCTGAGCCTTCGTTTCCATAGTGGTTCAAGTCCTAGGATGTTGCACCTGGTGTCATATTTTACGTCCTTATTCGTGTTGAGTATTTTCATCGTAAAGTATCTCTGCACTCCGACTTTCAGTCTATCCGTAACCCTTATACTGCTGTATATAAATGAACAATATTCGAGCAGTGGTCGGACACATGTTTTATACAGGATAACTCTAGATTCGGTGCTGTAGAAGTTCCGTAATAAGAAACCCACCAGTTTGCGTGATTTCGACACTTGTGTGGATACGTGCTCAGAGAAGGTTAGGTTGTGAGAATATCGGAGCCCTAAGTCTTGTATAGACTTCAGTTTTGGGAGTGAATGCCCGGTTATCATTAAGTTTAGTTCGAGTCCATAGTCACCTATGCATATCCAGCCACATTTTTCTGTGTTAAATTCTAGTCGCCAGGTGTTGCACCATTTGCTAACATATCTTAGTTCCTCTTGCATAGTGCTAATGGTCAGGGTTAAGTCACTGCTAAGGCATGTGTATACTACCTTCAGGTCATCCGCATATAAGAATGGCTTGCCTACCTTGAAACACTCATATACTATTGATGTATGTTATGAAGAGAAGTGGACCCAAGACGCTGCCCTGGACAACCCCACTGGTTATTGGTTTAGGCTTTGAGATAGTTGAGCCAACTTTTGTTATTTGGTAACGGTTACGGAGAAAGGATTTTAACCAGTCTAAAAGTGGATTACAGATCCCAAGGGATCTTAGCCTATTGATAAGCAAGTTGTGTGGGACTCTGTCGAAGGCTTTAGTGATGTCGAAGTAAAGTATTATCACTATCTTTTTCTGATCCCTTTTGCTGGTGATCTCGTTAAAAAAGTCAAACAGGTTTGTAGTGCAAGATCTTTTCAGAAAACCATATTGCGACGAGTTGATGTGGTTAGATTCCAGCAGGTAATCAGACATTTGATTTTTAATCACCTTTTCCATAATCCTTGAGATGACCGGGGTTATGTTAATTGGTCTGTAATTGCTAACGCTGGTCTTGGCCCCTGACTTATGTTTTGGTAGTATATAAGTAGTTTTCCACTTGTCAGGATATGTCCCAGAATCTAATGAGAGGGTAAATATTTTGAGTAATAAAACTGCCATATCCATGCCAGCCTTTCTATAAGTTATTGACGATATCTCGTCTGTCCCGCAGCTAACATTTGCTTTTAGGGTTTTAATGGCATCGTTAATGTTACTCACGCTGAATTCTATGCCACCCATCGTACTACTACTTGTACTGGTTATTTCGATGTCTGGAGCTAGGGGCATGTTAGTACTATTAAGAAACCACTCACTGAGAAGTTCACAAATCACCTGTGGATCATGGTAACCTATACCTTTATGCTCTAGATGATTTATTAAAAAGTCTTTTGTATTTTTTCGCTTTCGCAGGATGCTGCAAAGGTTTTGTGTTTTGGACAAACTGTCAAAGGTCCTACGCTCTTCAGCCAGTGCTTTCATTCGGTGTCTTTCTTGAAGTGAAAGGAATGTTGTATGTATCTGATTCAGTACATGAAATTCAAAACAAAGTACTTTTTCTTAGTCTTCTCAGTTTGTGTCGAGTTTTCCTATCTATACATAAGGTTGTTTTAAGGCCGAGCTTAGTGGGTGCAACTGTTTCCTGAGCGGAACTAATAATCTTGTAAAATTCGTCAAGGGTTTGAGACAGATTACCGCTAGTGAAGAATTCTTCCCAATTGGGGCATCTTATAAGTGTCTGGAGGAGCTCCCAGTCAGCATTCTTGATGTCCTTGTATAGGTAGTATTTCGGTGTTACTTCGTGTACACCCTCGCGAGCTACTAGGAGTGGTAGAGTGCAAAGCAATATGCTATGATCGCTGTTTGTAAATTTTTCTCCTACCTGTACGGACAGTGGCTCAATGTTGTGACAAAGTATCAGGTCAAGGGTGTTATTGCTTCGCGTGGGGGAGTGCACGTATTGCTGCCAACCGCTTGTGTCATTGGCTGCTAGGAGTTTGTCATGGTCCGCTGGACCTGTGCATATTGTGCAGTCTACTCCAGGGAGGTTGAGGTCACCGCAGATTATCTTAGAATCGAAGTCTAGAGTGGCAGCGTGCTCGAGCGTTTCGCAGATTATCTCGTCAACTGCTGTGGAAGTGTTGGGTGCCCTATACAAACATCCGATGAGGAGCTTGTGTTCACTGATGGTTGCGCTTATCCATGCACATTCTGGAGTTTTATCTAGTTCAGGATTTGAGTAGGTATCAGTAATAATAGTTCTTGACGCATAGATAAGACATCCACCTCCTTTTTTATAGGCTCTGTCCTGTCTGTATACTCTGTATCCATCGATTGTAATGTGTGCGTGTGATATATCTGGAGTTAGCCAGGTCTCTGTAACCAGAACCAGTGTCGGTTGCTTTAGGATTACTAGGGTTCGAAGGGCTGGTATTTTACTTACTATGGATCTCGCGTTTATGACTAGTACTGTTAGATACAAGGGGTATTGGGAAAATGAAAGGAGAGAAGTGAGGTTTTTGCTGCCTCATCAGTGTGCTGATAAATATCGCAGTTTTCCCTACCCCGTTTCAAGCTGTGCTGCGCATAAGTGGTAGGTGTTCTGCTTGTTGCTGTCACTGGTAAATATAAGGGAGGGTGGTACCGCTCGGCATATACTTAATTCTAGGCTTCGCTACCGGTTGTGGTGTCATCATGGACGCAGCAAATGGGTTCGGCGGTAGGGGAGGCGGGCAGTGGAAAAAACTAGGCTGCATATTTGTGCTGTCAGAGATGTAGTAATTTTGAAACCAATGATGGCTTATCTGTGAGTTGTACGCAGTGTACAGTCCATTATTAGCATTTTCGTTACTTCTTAGGTCCCGTGTTACAGGCCAGCATTGACGCGTTGCGTTATTATGCCTATTATCCCTTGGTTTCGAAACCTTGGTTGTGTTTGTGGAGGGAAATTTCCTCCGATCATTCCTCAGGTATGTGTTTCTGCTATCCGGCCTGTATCGAATGTGGTTAGTGGAGGTTACCCCTTTCGGGGTAGTACTGGTTTTATTCGCATTCCTATTCTCATTTAGCACAGCAGATAAGTTCATTTTGCTGGTTTGTGGCCTCTCAAAGCTGCTATTTCTAAAGGAAGCAGTTTGTTTTGGTACAGGGGGTTTATTATTGTTTGTGTCCCTTTGTTGCTACGAGGCCTAAACTGGCGTCTTGTTCGGTTAGATGGGGTGAGTCTAGGTCTACAGAAGGGGTGTGTCTGTTACCATTGGTAGGCGCATGAAGTGTTTTTTCTTCTTGAGTGGTGTGCGGACTGACGGAGTGCTGTACTCGCGTGGGTTCTGGATTTACTACCCGACTGTGTTGGCCAGCTGGTACCATCTTACCTAGTTTTTGACACTTGATGGTTCGCGGTGTAGGGCTTTCAGAGTCAGGTATTTTACCAGGACAATGTTGGACAGGAACATTGTCTTTAGACATATCACTTGCTTGTTCCACAGTGGATACATTGTTGTTGAATACTATCTGGGGTTTTGCATTTTTCCTTTGAAGTGGGGTTCGATCTTGAGTTATCTTAATATGTCCAAACATATTTTTGAATTTAACACTATTGCCCATCGAAACAAATTACCCGCAATCAGGGGATGATGTAAACTGGGACAAGATAGGGCATGCGAGTTGTGAGTCGGTCTTCCGAATCCTTTCACAATCACAAGTAACCTGTGACATACTACAGGCGTCTAAGATCACGGCTTTAGCCTTTTTTGGTAATATACTTTCCGGAACATTGTAGACGATGGCTTTTTGTAGTAATGCAACTCGTCGCACCACCTCTGAGGCGATGAAGTCGACTAGAGTTTCAGCCTCCCTCACTGTCTATATCTTTGTGTAGACCAAAAAGATAAGTAATGGGTGCGACGTGCTCGAATGCAGTGCGGACTTCAGTTAGCATTGTATTGAGCTCAGTAATTTTGACTGCATTGGAAGTTGCTAAGTTACTGAGATCGTGACAAAGTCACTTATGCCTACAATAGGAGTTTATGACCTATTCGGAGAGTTTTGAGACTGTGTTTCGAACAGATCTGTGGAGCATTCATTTTTCTTGTCCAAGTGCTCTGTTTGGCGGTAAGCACTTTTGGTGTTCAAAGGTACTAAATCAAACGATCGGTAACGTTAAAATTATAATTTAACAGATCACGTGTAAATGTAACGCAAGTTACGAACTCACGGCAATGCTGAAGTTGGTTTGTTCGTTTATTATGACTTTTCCCTTGGGTTCCTAGTGAAACACAGGGCTTCAGTAGCACGTCTCCATTTCACTCTCTTCTCTGCAGTCTTTTCAACCTGGCTTCATGACTTCCCAAAAGCTTTCATTTCTTCCCAACATGATCGCCTCCATGTCGTCCCGGACGCCCAACTCGTCGTTTTCCCTTTCGATTCCACTCAAGGCCCTCGCCTGGCGCGTGATGTCCCCAGCCGGCCTTCTCAGTGTATGCCCAATCCAATCCATCTCCACTTTCTTCCATTGCATATTTGTTGGGCGATAGGCTCTTGGTTGGTTCGTTCTCAGAGTTCCTTGTTGCTTATTCTTTCTGGTCATCTGATCTTCAGTATCGAGGGGGCGTAGGCAGTCGTTGATGAATGTTTGTAGTTTGTTGGAAGTGCTTTTCGTGACGCACTAAGTTTCTCAACCATATGGCAGCACTGACTTGACGTTGGTGTTGAAAGTCCGGATCTTGTTCTAGGTGCTGAGTGCGGTAGATCTCCATACTGATTTCAAATTAATGAAGACCTGTCTTGCTGTCTTTCCGATCCTGGCTTTGACGTCCTCATCTGTGCCGCCATCTGCAGCTGAAACGATACTGCCCAGGTAGGTGTAGGTGAAAGACTACTTCCTTTAGGTTTCTTCCGTTGTGATCGGTGCTTGTTGTTGTTGATTGGGTATCTTCATCACCTCCGTCTTCCCTACGTTCACTTGAAGTCCCGTCTTCGCTGTCTCGCCTCGCCTCTTCTGTCAACTTGTTGGTTTTTGCCTGTAGATCTTCGAGTTTGTGCCACAAGACATTAGACATAAATCATCATCGGTGGCGAAATCCAAGTCTTCTAGGTTCTTTACCGCAGTCCAGAGTATCTCCCTCTTCTTGTTCCTCACTGTTTGTTGCATGATCCAGTCCACTACAATCAGGAATATCATGGGTGATAGTAGACAGCCTTGTTTTACTCGTGTCTTCACTTCAAAGGCATCACTGATCTTTTCATTTTGAATTACTTGACATGTGGCGTCTTGATATAGTTGTTGAATGGGGTTGACGACCTTCAATTCGACCCTTGCTAGGGTCTTTCACAAGGTTACTCACGTCGTATGGATGGTTACGAACCATCTCAATGCTTGTAAAAGTACAATAAGTTAACTGGAAATGCATCCGAATTCCAGACTGGCAGCCAATATACTTCGATTGAAAATTCTACTCTCAACACAATTCTGGGATTACCCCTGAATTCAGTGTTTAGTACATTCTGACTTCTTCCAGTTACTGAAAGTGCCTGCCAATAAAACATAGTGGTGCTTTAAACTAGCATCTCCCTTACAGCGATTACATTCTTTGACGATATGATGCGCATTCGTGGTCTGAACTTCGAGGTAAGCGACTTCTTAGCATACTTTCTGAAAGGTTTTTGTTGCCTCTTCTACTTGTCTTCAGACAGTAAAATGTCTGGGTCGTATAACCTGCTCAAACACCTCAGAAGTATCCACACATGTTGGTCTAGTAAGGCTAGCACTGCTCGTAGAGGCCTACTGAGACTCCAAGAGGCTATGAAAACAAATAGGTAAAGCCTTCTTCTTAGCACACTCTCAGCCGGAGAATAATAAGCAGCAGTGGAACGTGCTAACACTTGCAACAACTTCTTAAACAGCCAGACAAGGGCCGTAAACGTTGAAGTAATTCGAGGATCAGAGGCAGAGCGTGGAAGCATCACGGATTTTTTAACGGTTAATCAACGTCTAACACAACAAAAACAATATGACGTGGAAAAATTTGCATAAAACCATTAACATAACATGAAAAATACATTTCAACAAACAAACATGCAAAAATCACGCTTTTTGTAACTGACCTGTATCCCTAAACATCGCCAACAATAAAAGCAGTTAACGAAACAAGTTGAGGAATCGTCCTGGTGCGAACTTGACAGACGCAGCGACCAATCAATAATAATTCGAACTTGTTATATACTCATGAATACGAGACCAAGTGAGTACACAACAGCGTAGTCGGATGGAATAGTATATTTGCGAGGCCAAGATACCGATGCGTTCCAACTAACTGGCTGGAGGGTCGATTACGAGCAATGAAACGTAACACGACAGCATGTCAAACGGCGAGGATGCTTGGTTGGATGCTTTCTGCTTAGCGAGTCTAGTTAAACTATCAAGGTCAGCATCAGTGTTGCATCTCATCAAACCCTAGGCTATTGATTTCGGGGAAGTGTGTGACGCTACGGATCACTCCCTCCGTAGTGGGTTCATGAGGACCGTAAGATGATACCACCCGGAAGTAAAAACCCAGTGGTTTCTCCGACGGTAAAACTCCTCCGATGGGCTCACTACGAGAAGTGGCCCTTAGTTGTCTGAACGTATTCTAGGATGTCGTGGCAAATGAAAAATAAAATATAACAAATCGAACTGTAAGTCAATCATGGTCCGCAGTGTTCCTTGACGTTCTGTTCGGTGCTTGTTGTGCCTTGAATATAAATAAGAGTCCTTGATATCACGAAAACGTCTCGTGAAAATGGGGATTATTTATATATAAATATATCGAAATAGATTTTATGCTTATTTCCCCCTTTTTAAAAAGTTGATATAAGATGTTACAATGTGGGAAGATTTTCGCATTCCCAGTAAATACCAAAAATTTTTCCCCGAAAAATTTTTTGAATTAAAAAAATGGATGGCACATCATATTCCACACTGCTAAGTTGAATAAGACTTCAAGTACTCCGGGAACCTGACGGTTCCACCTAATCGTGTTTTTTGTTGCGCCGGTGGTTATTGTATCTGTACATTATCAGGAACATTGTCGAGAATTTCGATGATTGGGCTATCCTCCGGTTGGCTATGGTGAGCTGAAATGTCACTTATGATGGGGTTACCCTCGGAATAAGCTAGTTTCAAACCGTCGATACTGACAGTATCTTCACATCTGTTTCTCTCGATTATTTAGAATTTCTCATGTCCTTGATCATTCTGAATGGCCTATCGTAAGGTGGTTCAAGTGGTCAACGAACGGCATCTTGGCGAATGAACACGTGTGGTGTCTTTTGTAAAATGGAGCGAGCGAAGACATCAGCTGTTTGAGGTCTAACAGGGGAAGGCCTAACTGAACGCTTTGCGTTAGGAAGCCTAGTCAACTAAGATGTCCTGTCTGAAACATGTTTGAAAGTTGAAGGGGAATCGAATTCACCTGGTAGGCGGAGAGTAGCCCGTGAACGAGTTTTGCAGAGGTGCGTCCAGCGTTAGCTTTCGACGTGTCACGAATGCCTAGTACGGCTAGAGGCAGAGCCTCGATCAACTGAGATATGTTTGCAGCTGAAAGGAAAGCTTTCAGCTGTCGGTGGAAACGTCCTACCATTCCATTTGCTTGTGGATGGTAGGCTGTCGTCGGGAACCGAGTGCAACCTAAAAGTGCAGTTAAAGCGTGAAATAATCCACACTCGAATTGGCGCCCACGGTCGGTTGTTACTTAAGATGAACATCCAAAGTTCGCGATCCATCATTTGAAAAAAACATGAGTGACAGTTTCGGCAGTAATATCCTTATTAGGTACCGCTTCTGGCCGCCTCGTAAAACGATCCATACAGGTGAAAAGGTGAGCACATCCATCGGATTCTAGTAGGGGTCCTACAATGTCCTTATGGACGTGGTCGAAAGGCATGTCTGGGGCTAGAAAAGAATCTGAAGGGCTTTTCGTGTGTCGTGTGACCTTGCACCTCTGGCAAGCTAAGCATCACTGAGCCCACTGCTTAATGTCTGTTCATTGCCGGCCAGCAGAAATGTTGTGCAATAAGCCCGATGGGGGCTCTTACACCTGGATGGGGCAGTTTGTGCAGCGTATTGAAGAGGTTGTGTCGACATCTCTTCGGAACTATTGGGTGTGGTTGACTAGCAGGGACATCAAATAAAATTGTATCCTTGCCTGACCCTACCGCTCACAGTTGTAGCTTGAGAGTTGTGTACGACAACTCACGATGCAGTTCAAGGTCTTCTTTTGACACCGAGCTAGTTCAATGAGGTCAACGCCCTTGGTACTGTTTATTGAAGCTATTCGAGTTAGTGAGTCGGCCACAGAGTTGTTTGCCACATAAGTGTGGCAGGTATCTGACATGAACTGGGAAATGTAATCCAGTTGTCGTGACTCACGAGGGGAGTATTTGTCAGATGTCGAGTCGATAGGGAAGGTTAACGGTTGGTGGTCTGTGAAAATAATGAAGTCACAACCTTTCACCGAATGTCGAAAATGGCGTACAGAACAGTACATAGCTGGAGTTCCCTACTGAATGTGTTATACCCTGCTTCCGCGTCTTGCAGCCGCCTCGAGAAAAAGGCTGAAGGTTGCCGCTGGTTGTCAGTCAACTGTTGCAAAACTGCTCCAATTGCTGAGTCAGATGCA